TACGAACACTTGTGCCCATGGCCACAAAAAGCCAACCTTTGGAGCACCCAAAAAACCAACCTCCTCGTACACATTCAGGGAGATTCAACTTACAAACTTTGCTATCGCACATATCAAAGAAGCTCAAATAATTGTCATCTGGTTCGTAAGGGAGTATCAACCATAATTGTTGTGAGGTTTGCTTTGTATTTCTTCTCCATCGCTTGCACACAAGGTTGAATAGGATGCGATCCGATAAATTCAAACGCTCAAAGATTAAACCCAATATATCATCAGTAAGTTGGTCCCAATGGCCCTGAACCATTATTTGGCGCCATGGCGATACCCTGGAGAAGGAAGAGCAACCGATCAACAGATTAAAACACACAGTTTTATACGCATAAAACATATATTTGATCATCCTCGTCGGATTAATTATCTGTTGAGTAAACTCTTCAATACAGAATATATAAAAAGAACAACGATAATTGATAATTGATAAAAGAATCAAAGTACAATCAAGATTTTAATTTCTAATTATAGATAAATTTTTAATATATATATATATTTATCAGATATAACTTAATTTAATTTGAAATAAATTTTTATATTTATCAGGTATAACTAAGCTGATTTGAAATAAATTTTTATATTTAAAAAATAGATAATTATTATAATTATCAAACTCTTCTAAAATATTTATATATTTATTTTCAAAGTATAATCAGGTCTTTAATTCTTAATTCTATATAAATGGCATTTGTTCAACAATAGAGTATCTCGTGTAATACTATTAAAAAATAAAATTAATAATAATATATATTATTTATTGTAGTTAATCATGTATATTCTTCAAAAAGAAATTATATAAATATAACATCAATAATATATAATTAACACTTGTGGTCTCTAATAATAAATTCGGTTAGAAATATGGATGGTAACTTACCGCAAACTAGACTCGTTTATGAGTAGGCTAAGTGATTTTTTAATAAAGAATCCACAGTTTTTGAATGCCTATTTTAAAAAGGTTCTAGAATAAACTATTTAAACGAAACTTTTAAATTTTAAATTAAATTTAAATTAAATGTTAATATTTTGTTTTTAAATAAAAAATAAACAATAAAATTTCATCATAAATGATTTAATTTTAATTATTTATATAATTTTATCTAACAATCAAAGTACGATTAGAACTTTTACTCTTTTTTCCTCGTTCTCTTAAAATTTATACACACTTGTGGTCTCTAATAATAAATTAGGATAGAATTATGGGTGGTAACGGTTTTGATTAGTCAAGTCGAAGTCTTAGAATTAAGAGAGTCATACTTTAAGGACATATGATGCAATCTTATTTAAATTATAAAATATATAGTACAAGCCAAGCAACATCGATAGTAAATGATAGGCCTGTAAATGAACTGAACGTTCAACGAACCGTTCATGAACCGTGCGGCGGGAAGTTCGTTTATGTGCGTTTATTTATTAAATGAACGAACATGAACAAGATTTTTTGTTCGTTTAATTAAATGAACAAACATGAACATAGGTCTCGTTCGTTCATTTACGTTCGTGAACGTTCGGTTATGTTCGTTTATGTTCGTTCGATTATGTTCGTTTATGTTCATTCATTTATGTTTAACACAATCTTCTTAAATCAATTTTGGTGACCAATGTGTAAGTATCTTAAAAATATTAATCTGATATTTTGATGACCAACTCCATAATTAACCCAATTTTATTTGGAGATTAAATCAAATATGTTAACCTGTGAGGCACCTCGCACTTATATTCATTTTCCCCTTTTTTTCCCAAACCTTATTGTTCACTGGAGAGTGGAGACGATCTCTGAAAGATTCAAAACAAGTTATATTATAGTGCAATATGAAGTTTTACATGTCTGTTTTCATCTCTTTCTCTGTTTTATTTGACTTAATAGTTGATATGTAAAGTTATTGTGGGTATCTTCACATCTAAAACTCAAGAAAACATAATACTTCTTTCTAGAAATAGATGGGAAGATAAAGGTAAAAATCGGAAGTATATGAGCATCAGTAAAAAGAAAAATATATAGAATTTGCCAGAAAACAAAAAAAGGTTTCTATGCAATTTCTGAAAAAGAGTGTAATAGCGGAAAATGATTGTTCATATGTAATCATGGAACACTAAGATAAATGTTATAGCATTAAATTAAAGTCGTGTGAATCATTTAATATCTTTAAAAGATAGATCGAAATATTTGATATCTTCAAACATTTCATCACTGCTAATAAGCTCTTACGCTATTTATCACTGTAGATTTGGTTGATTTGCATTGTCGACTATTTTTCATGAAAGAACAATGGAAGGTAGGGTCTCCAACGTTTATGTTCGTTTATGTTCGTGTTCATTTATGTTCGTGTTCGTTTATGTTCGTTTATTTATTAAATGAACGAACATGAACAAGTTATATTCCTTAATAAACGAACATGAACAAAAAAAAATTGTTCGTTTATGTTCGTGTTCGTTTATGTTCGTTTATTTTTTAAATGAACGAACATGAACATACCTTCGTTCGTGTACGTTCGGTTCGTTTACAGGCCTAGTAAATGAGAATTATTTTTGAATAGATATTGCTTTGTACTTATCCCAGATTATAAATTTCAAGTGGGGTCAAGTTATTTGAGTTTTTGTTTAAATTTAATTGTAAATTTTTGTAATATTATTGATATTATTTAATTCAAATTTAAACTTACAATATATATATATTTCTTCATATGTTATATATATATATATATATATATATATATATATATATATAATACATATATGAGATACTCGACCCAAACTTAAAAATAATCCACTAATTATTAAAAAAATTGAGTTATTCGATTTCTATTTATCACTCAACTCGAATTTAAAAAAAATTTCGAGTCGAATCAAATTTATAAAAATAAAATTTGATTTTTTTGAATCGAGTCGAATATAGTTTTGTTCACCCTTACGGTTGGATCAAATTCAGTGTCAAATTTGACTTGAAACCGACAGTATCTTCTACTTTTAAACCCTCATTTCTTCGAATTTTCACTTCCTTCTAAAATAAGAAATGATTTTGGTCCAGCGATTTGCTCTTAAATACGCCCAAATCTGCTTATTTTAAGATTTTATCAATCTAGTGTTACCACTTCACTGTTTTTGTTACTGAATTTGGTGAGGAAAATAACAGCAATTTTGTCATTAAAAAGAAAATTTGAAGACGAAATTGCTGCGAATAAATTGATTGATTGTCGAATAAGAAATTTACTTGTCCGTATATTTTAAACATCTTGTGTTATTGAGACTTAAGAAATTCAAAATAATTATTAAGTATTGAACTTAAGAATTAAGATGTTATGATGTTTATTGTGTGTGAATAAGTGAATATATATATAATAGAAGAGGTTAGAAGATGTTGAATGAAGTTATAAAGTATAAAATTTACTTTTTTTTATCAAATTAAGTTTTATTTTTAGATTCGGATATCTAGATATTCGCTCTGAAAATTCAGATATCCAATTTTTTAGTCAAATATGGATCATAATTTTAATGATATGAATTTTCGGATATTTGATTTTCAGATCAAATAATATCTCATATCTGAAAATGCACACTCCTACGGTGTAGTCTTTGCTTGAGAGTTGTTGCAAGGCTTTTATCATAAACCATTATTGCAGGGGCTGATGACTGGTTAATGTAAGCTCTACCAGTCATGCATCATAGGCTCATAACACATCTCTCCCACTGTAAATGAGATGCAAGAGCCAACACTCCCCATTGTTGAATGTTAAATTTTCATATTTGGTTTCAAATAATAAGACACGCATAGAATTGAAGCTTCATAAGAAAATGAAGTTCACCGACCGAGAATGACTCTCTTATTGCGTTAGTGGATATTAGGGATAGACTGAAAGGAGGGAGCGGGAGTATTTGGTTTCAAATTTTTAATGTATTTTTGTTGAAAATTTGTTCTTGCCCTGAAATTTTATAAGTTTACACCTAACATAGAATCCTATAACCTACTCGGCGGACATGAACCCTTGAGGTGTTGCTTAGCAGAATTTACAGAGAGCTGTCCCTTTATTATCCGCGTTTTCTATGCATCGAGCTTCGTTTCAACCTGAGCAGGTGGAGCCCTTGGATAATTTTCATCGAGGTTTGCCATTCTTTCTTGCAACTCCTTAAAAGCTAAGCACACAGTGCAACAAATAACCAGTCACCACTCACCAGCCCGTGCAAAAATGGTTTTTGATAAAGCCATGCAACAACTCTCAAGCAAAGAGATTGCATCAGTTAGATCACCACGTTAGCAGCGGCTGGTCAACGTGATTGTCTCGCCTCAACCAGTCTAGTAAAGGGATTGGGAGTCTTTAAAGAACGAAGTCAAACATCCGGTCAACGTGATTGTGTCACATGGCCAGACGCGACATCAATATTCTTATTACCTCCTGTAACGGTTGTTAACAAAAATTGACCGATTTATTATAAATTGATAACGTCATTGACCATTTATGTAGTTTACCCTACAATTATTTTCCAATCTTCACCCATTGGAAATTGGGAATAACCAAGGAAAGTTTAGAGGCAGCGTCGCAAGGTACTCAAGGCTCATGTATTTCATTTCTATATCCAAATCAAAGTTTTATAATCTGCTTACTACATTGGTAGAAATAGTATGAACCACTGTAAGAAATACTTCTAGAAAAATTGGTGTTCCATAAAATCTATTCATCTTTACATATTCAATCTATTAATGAAAAAAATAAAACTTATTTATTAAATCCTCAGTCTTTTCACAATTTGCATGGCTATATGGTAAAACTACAAGGATAAGAAATATTAAGAAAAATGAAAAAAAATCATTCTTTTTTAGGGCACAAGATACAAATATATAGCACAGGGAAGGGCTCTCATGGCTTTATTGATAGACTACAGAGCTCTCCTACCATCATTTCAAAAAATAAAAATTCAATTGATCAAATGAGGATTTTCAACATGCTATGTTACATTGAAATTAGGTTTCATGTGAACAACTGAAATCAAGGGTAAATAATTATATATATATTAAGTAAAAGATGAATATCAACAGCAAGCGCTTGCAGCAGAATCGGGTTGCGGCGGCTTCTGGCTTAACATGTTCTTTTTCACACCTTTGGAGCCCTCGGCTAAAAGGCTAGGTGTATCAACAATCTTCACAAAAGGTTTATCAGTTCATTCCTTTCCTATGAAAATTAATAATTTCAAAATATAATGGTTAATTTGAATACCTTTAGAACAAGCTCATCAAAGCACTGTTGTACGTTAGTGTGTGTTTTAGCACTGCATTCAATGAAAAGGCAGCCATATTCTCTTGCAAACTCCAGTCCCTCTTTCTTTGTCACAACCCTCTGACTTTCCTGAATTTCATACAAACAGCAGATGCATGATTGATTAGAAAAACCCTTGAAAGTTTTGTTTAGATGTCAAGGAATTTCTTACCTTGTCAAGTTTGTTCCCAACAAGCATCTTGATGCAGTCTTTATTTGTAGAGTAGAGTTCGAATTCCTTAGTCCAGACTTCTATAAGATTTGTAAATGTTTCCCTTCGTGTTACATCGTAAACTGTTACATTATGATTCTCCAACATGTTAAGAGCATAGAAGATGTTAAAGATCTCAACTCAAAAAGTGCAGTTTATGTTTGCATAAACATGGTTTTATCAGTTTAACAATTTCATGGTAGAGGCAAGACAGAGTTTACTTCCTTTCAAGGGTTTGACAAGAAAAGATCTACAAGGAATTAAAACGGGAAATTCCTCAAGAGAATATAGAATAAAGGGAACAATGCTTGATATTGTACAGTGCTACACATGTTAGAAAAAGAAGTTGAAATAAATACCCAAAACCACCCCTTGGGCGCCTCTGTAATAAGAACTTGTCAATGTTCTGAATCGTTCCTGCCCGGCTGCATAATCCACACATTCAACATATTCAAGTTAGATCAACTAAAGGAAAACTCACTCCCAAATTTAAAATATAAACTTAAACAAGTCTTTAATTGTGCAAAAACTAGTTTAGTAGATTATGTGATTAACATTTCCACAACCAATTCAGAACAACTTGTTGATATTGAAGTGCTCCATAAAGAAGAATCTAGAGAGAGAAATCATACATCTTGATGAAGTGAAAAGAGTAATTCTAGATCAATTTCTCAGATGAAGTAATAATCAAAAACCCACTTCAATGACATTAATACTAAAAATAAAATAAAATGGAAAAGAAAAGAAAAGAAAAGAAAAGAAAAGAGAAGAAAAAACAGATTATCGAGCTTTAAGTTTTACCTGTATCCCAAATTGCAAGCTTTAGCTTCTTACCTCCAGCAGTTACATGTTTCACCTTAAAATCAACACCTACATAACCAAACAAGTATTTTTGTTTGCATAAAGAGAGGCAAGCAGATTAATGATTCTGATAATCAGTTTAATAGGAAACGATATTTCACATTTGGTAGGCTCAATATTTCCTCTTACTGTTCATTCATCATATAAATTATATGCATTCTTGCTTTAAGATGAAAGAAAAGAAAAAATCATTCCTCTCGCTGTTCATTCATCATATTTCCTGTTCTAAATTATAAAACAATCTCCAGAAAGGCAAATGTAAGTAATTGATCATAAAACTATAGATAAAATATCCATGAAAATCACTTATTAAACGAAAAGTCTGTAATTAATTTGAAAATTTTCATGCATGACAAATAATAATATTATGAAAGAAGCCTAGATCAAAACAATACCATTAATAAATTATTTGAGGGGAAAAAATAAAATAAAAATTGTGGATGAGTACTGACCAATTGTGGGAGAGAGTTCATCAAAGGTACCGGCAGTAAAACTTAAAAGAAGACTACTCTTTCCAACACCTGAATCTCCTATCATCAACAATTTGAACAAAAAATCGAACTCCGTCTCCATTTTCTAATTATTTTACTTACAGTAATATCTTTAATTTAGTCCTTCAAAATTACGCCAATTTTTTAGGATAAAATCTCCCAAATCCGGCTCTCTGTTCTTTTATTTTTCACCTCATCCAAGAAATCTGAACCTGAAAAATAACATAGTATAAAATCATAAACATCGATTCGTAAAGCGAGATAAAAGATTGACGCTAAAATGATTCTAAAATTAAATTTCACAGGGAAAATGGAATTAATAAAAAAAATAACAATAAAGGATCTCGATCATGTGAAAGATTACCTTTCCTTAAAGAAAGAAGAATGAAATGAAATCGGAAAATGGAAATCGGGAGAATTGAGGAGCGTGGCTCTCGCCGAAACCTTATAAATATAATAAATAATTTCTATTTTTCCTAAATATGTATTCTAAGGCAAGTAGTCACCTCATTGGCAAATTCTCCTCTATATCTTTATATGTTTATGCAAATTCGTCGTCTAAAAATAAGTCCAAAGTTTCCGGAAACCTTATTTACTTTCTCGCGCTAACCCGTTTGATTCTCCTTAAAAAATGCACATAATCTCAACATTTAAAAGTTGAAAGAAAGGCCGAGACAAAACAAAACTATTTGTATGGTTTATTTAAGCTAAATGCATTTGGAAGAAGGAAGATAATGAAAAGTCCAATAAAAGCTTATTAAATAAGTATTGAGCTGAATGTACATTATGCAAGTGAAGTGAGTGTTGAAAGCATTATTTTGAAAACCGGACCGGACCGGCCGGTTCAACTGGGAACTGTTGTCTAGTCTGGTTCAATCTAGATCGATTAAACTACTACTAGTGAACCGGTCAGAACCGCTAAAACGTTCAAACCGGACCGGCTGAAAACCGAGAAAAATCGAAAAAACTCGCCAATTTTGTTTTTTTTTATAAAAAAAATTAAACCAAACGACATCGTTTGTTAAACGAGCCAAGTCGAACTCGAGTATTGCCGAGCTCGACTGATTCAAACTCACGAGCTAAAAATTATGAAGTTTAACTCGAACTCGAAATATAATATTGAAACTTGAATTCGAAAAGGCTTGAACTCAAAAAAAAATTAGAAGCTCGATTGAAGCCTAAAATTCGAGCTTGATTGAAGTGAAAGAATAGTTCACTCAATGCTTACTAAAAGGTTTCATGATTTTGAATGTCAAATTACCTCTATTATTTATAGAAGTTAGTTGGGATGATCTTCTATGTTTATTAGCCATGTGGGATTGTTTTTAAAAAAAAAATTAAATCAAACAATATCATTTTGTTATGATTTTTTTAGCCCCAAATTTATTTTTTAATTATAGTTATATAATTATATTTATTATTTAATATGTTTTAGCTTAAATATTATGTTGTAGTTAATTTGAATCATTTTATTTCACTTGATTTTATGGTTTTTAACTTATATATGTTGTGACTTGTTTTGAATATAAATTGTGATATAAAAAATTATTTTTTATTAAATATTTTTGGTATTTTTATTTAATTTTTTAAATAATTATGACGTCGTCTGGTTTTTTCGACCGGTTCGACCGGTTGAACCAGTGAACCGGTAGCATGACCGATTCACTAACCGGTCCGATTCTGAAAACCATGGTTGAAAGTGGATCTAATAACATTACCTGGAATTAGCTCAACGGAGAGGAAAAAGAAGCGGCGGAAACGTGAGAGGTAATGATAGTTGAAAAACGTGGAACCAAAACGGCGGTAGCCACCATGTTAGTAGCACTGCTTACCTTTTGGATCCTCATGACGTTCTTGGGACAGTGGGGTGCCTGGTTGTAGTCATTAGAGGCGCTGTTAATCTTCTTTCTTTTATATAATTCTTTTTAATAAAAACTAGTGTAGGTGTATATCTCTTCAAATATAATAAATACAATCATAATCACAATTTTCTTTAAAAATAATTAATAAATTTAATTATCATCTCTATTATTATGATTTCTGACTGTATTAATATCGTAGATTCATCGGATTCTAACTAAAATAATATGTTTTTAAATGGTAGTTAACATTATAGTGTATTTATTATATATTTAATAAGAAACATTTATGATCTTACTTGATTCAATGAGATTAGTTTCAGTTTAGATTGTTAAATAAATAAATAGAAGATGATATAAAAAAATACACTATTTAAAAATTTAACATAAGATTAATAAATTTATATATAATTATTTTATCATTTCACTAAAATAATTTTATATGTATACATATATTATATATAAAATACTTTTATTTATAAAAAAAAAGGAGAACTACTCATATTTAATAGATATGAGCTCATTAAATAGTCTCAATAGTTATAAAGAATATTATTATTCATAAAGATTTTTTATTTAAATAATTGTGTCTCTGTATATTTTATTAATAATTAGAAAATTTTAAATAAATATTATTTTATAATCGTTTTGTACTATTAAAGAAAAGATATAAATTCATCCGTTGTATGCTGTTGTTATCACCGTTTACTTGGAGGCTGTGCTTGGACAATACATGTGCAGCCATATTTGCATGACGTCTAGTGTATCGGAAAAACGTAGCAATCACACTTCTCTGCTATTAGAGGAGCTTCCTCAAATAATGCATCCGATTGGAAAGTATATGTAATTTTAGCTTATTTATAGAACCCAAGGAATCATCCTCAATTTCCATCTTCTTCAAAGCAAAGTCAAACTTATTCAATAGAGAAAATTACACATGAAATTGTTCAAGTTGGACATCCTTGGCCTTGAGAGGAACATACTCCCCAAGATAAACTTCGAGATGATCGGCTAAAGAAGACTTGTCTATATTCTCATGGTGATACGATTTGCACACGAAGTAGATGACCGTTTGAGCAACGAGACCGAACAGCATGACGCTAAACAGCATCACGAAGCAAAGAATCGGAATCCCGATTCTCATTTCTACGCTCATCGACCAATAAAACAACACGCTGATCTCGAACACGGCTTGGATCCCGATAAAACCAACGACGAGCACCAGAAACACGGCGGCCGCCACCCCGATCTTACCCTTTATCAACGCCTTGCTCTTCTTCACGGCTTTCATCCCGTAATCCTCTTCCAACACCGAAACCACGCTGGCCAATTGCCAGACCAAGGAAACATAGACCAGTCCCGCCAAGTAGGGGATGAAGAGAAGAACGAAAACAGACATCCCCAACCCGCCGAATCCCAAAACAGCTAGAGGCACCAACAACACCACGCCGGAAGCGACGTCGTAGAAGAAAACGATGGCGAAACTCCACAGGAACGTCACGAAAAGCCGCTTCCAAACCTTGGGTACGACGCTGATGACCTTCTTGAACGAGGTTTCCTTGCCTGTGTAAATGCATGCGATCGTGTAAACCACGGCCGACGTTGAGAGGAGTGAAAGGATGAGAAGGAAAGTGAAATACGCAGCTTTGAAGAGCCAAAACGAAACCCATTCAGACGATATTACATCAGACAATTTATCGTACCCAAGCGTCCCTGCTTGTGTATAGTTCAAGGCGTCTTGGTTATTCAAAATATTAGCGAAAATGAGCTGTGAGATTTGGATGTGAGCTAGGAAGATGAAGGAGAGAGGGAAAATGAAGGAAAGAGTAATCTGGGTGAAGATTTTTCTCCATGAACATATGATCTTCAATGATTCTTTCAATATGCCAAAGAAACCCAGGAATTGAAGCTCTTCCTGCTCTCTATCCATGATAATTACACGACTTTGTGTGTGTGCGTTTTTCCCCTCTTTTATTCTTAAATAAATTGAGTGATGAGGGTGGGAAGCTTGTGGGGGAATAAGATAAGATAATGGGGTGGTGGTATTTAATAATAATAGACTGATTCAAAGTGTTCATTGCCCCTTCTCTTTGAACTAAATTACAAAACTTGTTTGTATTTTCTTTTTTATTGTTGGAATTTTACATGTATTCACATTTTATAGAATGTACATATGAGGATATTTAAGTGAGTTAACAAAGCATTCAATGCGAATAAAATTCGTGTGGAGTCGTAGTCTTCACACCCTTTTTTCCGTTCTTAAGATTTTGTTTTGAGTAATTTAAACTGATTCGAGTCGTACACCTAATTTTACTGGATGAATATCTAAAATATATTCAATTTTGGAATATATATATAAAAAGATTGGGAATAATAAAATTTAAGGTAAAGAAGGGGAGAATTGGGGATATATTGGTAATTGGAGTGGAGGGTGGGCTTCTTTGTAACGGCCAATAAAAGTAAACAACTTGGTTTGGGTTTATTAGAAAAAATCGGCAGTGGAAAGTTCGTGGGTAGAGGTTAGTTAAAGCGTCTTCTTTACTTGGGATTTGAGTTTTGAGGTCAACGCCAATACAAACGCAAACCGCGCATTGCGTTCGTTTTCTTCCATTCCAAGAAATGAGGTGTATTTTCTCATTTTATAATATTCCTTTTTTTTTTTTTTGTTATACTCCCGATTTTAAGACTTCGCACATCTAATTTTGGTGGATGAGTTTACCAACATTGATTTTATGTATACACAAAAATTTAAACTCGATACCTTATTTAAACTATATCAAGTTGTCTACCACTTAAACTAATTTCAGTTGATTATATTATTTTATTTTTAATATTTATAAATGAATTATTTTTATTATAAAGATTTCAATTTTTTTGGGGGTTTTAATGTCATATTTCTCATATACAATATTGTCTATAATTATACATATATTTATTATTGATGATAGTATATTTTATTTGTTATAAATTTATTAAAATAAATAAATAAATACTTTTATTATATTACTATTTAATTTATATTTTTTTGTCAATTCCCTTATTACTTAAAACTTTGAAATATTTTAATTACGTTTTTATTCCATTCACTTTCCAATATAAAGTGGTGTAATGCAGTCATGTAGATAAAATCAATATTCTCTTAGGTCCAAGTCAACTGAAGCAGTATTTGGTTAGTGGATGGAAATTAATATTATTAATTAATATTTTGATTCCAGTATCTAAACTTCAGTTTAGTAATTTTAGTTCATATCATTATCAACAATTTTAAAGTCGTTTTTCTTTATCAAAGTCCAAATATATTAAATATGAATACACCGTTTTTTTTAATTAATCACTGGTATCCGATC